CCCCGGGTGCCAGTTACCTCCATGGTGCCGTGTGCTTCCCGTCGACTCCCAGCCCGCAGCCCCTGACTTGTCTGGCCGGAGCTGACCTGGATCACAGCTAGCTCTGCTCCCGTCTTCCCGTGTTTTCCGCTCGGCTCCCCGCCCCCCAGACACCCCCAAAGGCAGGGGATCAGCTTACAGGCTCTAAATCGTGGCACAGGGGCTGCGTGTAAACACAACATCTGGCAGGAAATGAAAGGGCGGGGGGGAATCACAGCCATGGCCTGAGCTAAGGACACCCACGCCCTCCGGGCGACTTGGCGTGAACATATTGTTCACCGTTCACAGGCTCACGTGTGAATGGGCCTGGGCCAGCGGTGATGGGGGGCGGAGACAGAGGCGCCTTCTGGGGACTGCGAGGGTCAGCTGGGGCGCAGAACTCCTGGGTTTTCTCCCTGGCTCTGGGGGAAGGGAGGGGGGGCTGGTGGGTTAGAGCAGGGGGGGCTGGGAGCTAGGGCTCCTGGGTTCTCTCCCCAGCTCTCAGAGGGAAGTGGGGGCTAGTGGTTAGATCGGCAGGGTGTTTGGGAGCCAGGACTCCTGGGTTATCTCCCCAGCTCGGGGGGGGGGGAGTGGGGGCTAGTGGTTAGATCGGGGTGGGGTGGGAGCCAGGACTCCTGGGTTCTCTCTCAGCTCTGGGAGGGGATTGGGGTCTCAAAGATTAGAGCAGGGGGTGGCTGGGAGTCAGGACTCCTGGGTTCTCTCCCCAGCTCTCGGAGGGAAGTGGGGGCTAGTGGTTAGATCGGGGGGGCTGGGAGCCAGGACTCCTGGGTTCTATTGGTCGAGAGAGGATCCTAAGCCTAGGCTCTATAGGGTTAAACTTCCTCTGGTTTTAATATAGCCTTCAGCTCAACCCTGGGAGCAGGCAGCATCTGGCTGGAGCCGCAAGCTCACCCAGGGCTGGAAGTAACCCAGCGGGGTCCTGTCTGAACCAGCCCACCCCCGCCCCTTTGCCTCCCTTCCAGCACCTCCGGGCCTTGCAGGGAGAGCGGGGGGAGACATGTCTGTGGCTCACATCCAGATGTGCACAGCTGCACGTGTTCCGCTTTGCATCCCCCACCTGGATCAGCAGCAGGGAACTGGCCGGCACCCAGGGGATTCTGAATTCCCTTCTCCAGGAAGGGAACATCAGGCCAGCCCTAGAACGAGGCCTTCAGCTTGTCCCCCAGCTGCCATAAAGATGGCCCACCTCCCCCAGCCCCCAGCCCCGCCCGAGGCAGGATCGTCCCCGGCCTGTCTGCTCCCCAACGGAGACGCCCCACCTAGGCTGCGTTGCACGGCCCGTCTCTGCTTGCTCTGAGTTGCAGCTACTGTGCAAATTGGACCAGTTTTAAGGGCAGCCCCCAAAAAACAAAGCAGGAATCCCGCCCCCCCCCCTTCTCCCGAATGTCTGGAACAGAGGCCTCCCAGCTGCACTTTATTTCCCTCGCTTATTAGCTCCAAGAGGCTGCATTTGGATTGGAAGGAGTTTATTGGCTTAGAAAGAAGAATCCAGGCCTGAGTGTATCCAGAATGCACGTTGGACGCATTAAACAACATAAAAGGCCTGCAAGCCGCGGCTGGTGGCTCGGAGGTGGGCTCCCAGGGTGGAGAAACAACCCAGCTCCTCTCTACGAACAATTCACATGGCGGGAGGTGCCTATCACAGAAGCGGCGGGCCGGACGGGGGTCGCAAGAGGTCGTCTCGTACAGTCCCACCACGCTGAGGCAGGGCCAAGTCAACCTAGACCCTCCCTGAGAGGTGTTTGCCCAACCTGTTCTTAAAAACCTCCAGCGATGGGGCCTCCACCACCTCCCCAGGGAGCCCGTCCTGGCCCTGAACTAGCCTTAGATCTGGAAAGTTTTTCCTGATATCCAACCCTTGCTGCAAACTGAGACAATTCCGTTGTCCACCCCTTAGTGGAGCTGGAGACCCAATCAACGGTAAGGAGCCATTGGTTCTCTGGTGTTCAGCTCACACTTCTCGGCCCAGATCCTGAAAAGGTATCTAGGTGCCTAGCTCCCAGTGAAATTCAGCTCCCTGGAGGATCTGGGCCTTCGTTAAACAAGTGGTGAGAAGAATCTGGATCGGCACTCACTGAGGGGAGACTCATTTGTCCCTGTTATCGCCTGCCACGTTTGGAACCTTCTGAGAATGTCAACCCAAGGACGCAGAGTTTATAAACTTCATTTAAGAATGCAAACTCCCTGAGACTAATCTCTCTGGCCCAAGGGTCCCAGAAATTCTGCCGGCAGAGTTACTATGCCCTGTCTAAGCAGCTAGGTCGAAGGAGTCTATTAACAGCGGTTGAGAAGGTTACGTTTCCCCACTGGCACAGCCGGTGGAGTTTGCAGCCTCCATCTGCTAACCATCTCTGGACCAAAGAAGTCATACGCTCCAGTGGCAATATATGGGAATGCTGCATTATCTTGTGTGTGAGTGAAACAAGCTACTGCATCTCTGATAGCGAAACAGACGCTCGATCAGAAGAAAAATAATAACCAACGACATCAAGTTTTTGTAGATTACAAAAACTAAGGAAATTCCCAGACAAAAAACTTTGTTAAAGCCGTAACCAATTCACTTACAAAACATCTGCAAAGCCTGAAATATTTAAAATCACAATAAAGTTAAATGTTTGAAATACTGGGAAACTCAAACCATTTCCACAAATACCCGTAATTCTGGCATGTTTATCAACACACCTCTATTTATCCATCAATGTTGTGTCCAGCTACCGGACTACTCCTTTATATCAAAACATCTGAGCTCTAGCGCATTCACAGTTTGCAGTGGAAACACCATAAAGCTACACAGATTCTCTCAGTACTTAAATATCTGTGTTTTATGATTTTTAGATCTAGTTCATGTGAGAAATGCCATCAATTAATCCATTGTAAATATAATCCAACAAATATCCTCTCAAATTTATATAGGGGGTCATTCAACCCAGGGAAAGAGACTTCCACTTCAAATTGGCCATAACAGGAAACAAAATGCCTATTCTTATGGTTTGTAACCCAGATGGCTGGTCAAAAGACGGTGGTGGTGGAAGAGGAGAATTGAAATTTTTTTATTTATTTATGTCAGTATTTTTCCTATTATTTTCCTCATCTAAATTTGCAACTTTCAAATTTTCAACATTTGCAATTTTCAAATTTTCTACATTTACAAACTCAGTTCCCCTCTCAGGCTTTGTTTTTTTAGGTGAAAAAAGCTAATCTCTCTGAGTCTCTTCTAAGAAGATCGGCTTCCCAATCCCCTGATCGTCTTTGAAGACCTTTTCTGCACCTATCCAACTCTGAGTCCCACTTTCTTTAACTCGGGTGCCCAGAACTGAGCACAGGAGTCCAGATGAGGTCTTCCCCGGGCCTTGTCCGATGGCATTAATACTTATCAATCGTTTCCTGGTCAAAATCTGAAATGTTGACATGTTGTTGTCAAATTAGCAACATTCAAAACATTTTTGATTAGCTTCACCCTCAGCCAAAACCTCCGAAGTTATCTCACCCGCCTTGCAAAAACAGATGCTGATTGCCGGGCCCCACGTATTTATGAAATGATCAGCAAAAGTTGTTTTGTTCCATCTTAAACTCCCTAGTCCTAAATATATACACGAAGATAGAGACCTAGAACAACTGGTTGACCCCCTCGTGACTACGGCACCCTTGCTGTAGTTGCAGAGGAATGTACACACGTTTATAGTGTTTCACAAAGTTTTTTGTCTGGGAATTTCCTTAGTTTTTAAATGTTTAAAATATTTTCCCAAATGCTAAAACCCAGGGCCTTTAGGTAGCCAACACTGGGGAGACTGGACCAGAGATATAGATTCCTTCTTCCTTTTCCTTGTAGCTTGACAGAAGAGTGGGGGAATTCTCTCTTTTTCTCTGTTCACCCGCCTTGGTTTTAAATCAGATGCAGCAGGCAGGCCAAGAGCAGCAGGGTGCTGGTAACGACAGAGGCAGCCTGGCTGGGCCAGCCAGCGCCAGGGTGCTTTTGCCCCTTGATGCCTGCCGCAGCACGGGATTCCCGGCCTTTGGGCTCCTTGACGAACTCTAGATTGGGGATATATTCCCGGATCCAGCTTTGGTAGGAGGTGAGGCGACTGTACACTCCAGGGCGGTTTTTGATGGCGCAGCCTTCGCCCCAGCTGACAATTCCGGCCAGCACCCAGACATCACCCACAATGCACGCCATAGGGCCACCAGAGTCACCCTAAGGAGCCGAGAGAGAGAAGGGTTAGTGCAGGGGCTAGGGGTCTATTCTGAGCTATGCCACAGACTTCCTTAATCACAATGGGGCCCTGATCTCGGTCAGGAGGGTCTCTGCAGGTGGCAGCTCTGAAATGCAGCCACCTCTGGGGTGGGGCAACTGGATACACACAGCAGTGCTACAAAGGGATGGCTGGCCCAGTACTAAAATGCAGCCACTTCTGGGGTGGGGCTTGGCAGGTGGATAACAGTTGCCCTGTGATGCTGCAAAGGGATTGCTTGCACAGAACCCAGGCCCTGTCTAGTAGCTGTGACCTGCTCTGTGATGGGACCCTGGGCCTATACACCCCCCCATTCCCTCAGCCTGCTCCCTGGGCTGACAGCCAGGACTTCTGGGTTCTCTCCCTGGCTCTGGAAGGGGAGTGGGGTCTGGTGGTTAGAGCAGGGGGGGCTGGGAGCCAGGACTCCTGGGTTCTCTGGCTGGGGGCTCTCACATTGCAGGCATCCCTCATGCCCTCGGCGTAACCGGCACAGATCATGTCATCCTGGATATTCCTGTTCGGTGGCCTGTTGTGCATGTTGGTGAGGTACAGGTTCCTGCACGTCTTGGAGTCGATGATGGGGACTTGCAGCTTCTGCAGGGTCTGCGGGGAGGGCAGGTCCACTGCAAGGGGTAGCAAGAGCTGGTGGTGAGGCGCTGGGCTGAGCCTGGCCCCTGGGGGGCAGCGCTGAGCTACCCTTCCCAGAGCACCCTGCCGTTCTGCCGTTGTCTGCTCCGGCGTTCCTTCTCCCGCGGCTCGCCCATTCAATCCACGGCTCTTCCACGCTTCCTTCCATTCATTTCCTCATTTGCTCTTTCTAAGCCCCCTCTAACGGGCTTATCCATTCCCCTTTTCTTTCTTTTCCCCTGTTCCCCCATCCCCTTTCTTCCTACTCTACAGTTCATTTCTTTCTTTCCTTCCTTTCCTTGTTCTTCCCGTCTCTCTCTATCCCTCCTGCAACCACAGGGTTCTCATTCTTTTGTTCTCTCGCTGCCCTCCCGTTAAGTCCAAGGCTTTTTTCACTCTTTCATTCATTGTCTCATTCTCTCTTTCTCTGCCATGCCCCTGTCTTTAACTCGAGGGCTCATTCTTTCATTTTTACACTCTGTCCTTCTCTCGGAGATTTCCATTACTTGCATCTGAAGAAGTGAGGTTCTTACCCACGAAAGCTTATGCTCCCAATACTTCTGTTAGTCTCAAAGGTGCCACAGGACCCTCTGTTGCCTTCTCTCGGTGCGTCCCACCCTTAACGTTAGGCCTCTTCCCTCCTTTTCTGTTTTTTTAATGCGTCAATTCACTCTTTGTCCCCTCCTTTAACACTAGGGGTCAGACTTGCTCTTTTAATTTCATTTCATTTCTTTCTTTCTTTCTTTCTTTCACCCATCACTAGTACTCCAGATCGCCTGACCCCTGCCAGACCTCACTCCTTCCCATTCTCTGGACCCGCATTCCCCCCATCCCCACCCCAAGGACCCATCCCCACCCCGGGTGTCCCATCCTGACCTACCCCAGGAGCGCACGTGGCCCCAGCCGGTCACCCAGCAGACTTTGCCTGGGGGGAAGTTGACGGAGACATCTGGGAGGCAGATGGGCAGGATGTAGTCAGTGAACTTCACCGGCCTGGCCAGCTGGATCAGGGCGATGTCTCCGCTCGTGGTCTGCCCGGCGTAGTGGGGGTTGACAATGATGCGCCAGACCGGGCAGGCGCACGCGTTGGGGCTTGGCTTCAGCAGTTGATGGGCCCCCAGCACCACCCGGTACTGGGTCAGGTTCCGGACCCTGGTTGGGGGCAGAGAAACGCATCAGTGACAGGGCAGGAGTGAGGGGCACCGGCAGAGCTGGGGCTGGAGAACTCCTGGACTCACTGGTGGAAGCAATGAGCGGCCGTCACCACCCATTCGTTGTTGATCAGGGACCCCCCGCACATGTGAAC